TGCACTTTTACTGCCCAGCCACAGAATACACATCTATCCTGTTGTGTTTTGTTTTTTCCTGTTTGGGAAACAAGCAGGGTGACCACCATCTCTCTCTCTCTCTCTCTACGGTTAAGCGATCCCAAACCATTTGCAGAACGGCCTGGCATCATGCTACGGGTTGCAGATTAGAATATTAAAAGCACTGGGCTAATTTCCTCTCCTCCTTCCAAAATTTTTTTAAAAAACGATCCTCCGGAAATGCCGTTTGCAGCCCCCCCCCTCCCCACAAACCATGGCTAAGTGGCCTGATCAAAAGCATCTTTGAGGGGGAGGAGAGCATCCTTACAGCTCTGGCTGCGGTGGAGGGACTAATCACAGCCTGAGCCGCCAAGCCCTTGATGCTCACTGCAGGAGGCCCTCAAATGTGTCTGAGATGATGCTCCAGCTTGGTCATGTTTTCCCCGCGATGAATAACTCTGCAGGGAGCAGGCTGCCTGTTGAAGGTCATGAAACATTATTTATTTATTTATTTATTTATTTATTTATCCATCCATCCATCCATCCATCCATCCATCCATCCATCCATCCATCCATCCATCCATCCATCCATCCATCCATCCCACCTCCACTTACCTCTTAGTGGCATACTTCTTCTTTCTTCTCCTACCTTATTATCTCAACAACCCTGAGAGTTAGGCCAGGTTGAGAAAGCATGATAGGCCAAAGGCTCCTTAGCAAGTTTCATTGCCAGGTGGGGATTTGAACCCAGATCTTTTGTGTCCTGGTCTAGTACTCTAAGCAATAGCATGATGTTGGCTATCTTTTGCAAACTCTGCCAGGAAACTGAAAGAGGAACTTTAGCCATGCAAAGCCTTTGTCCTGCCACTGGGGAAAAACAGATGAGAGAGAAGTCTACCTTAGAGGGAAGTACCTGGATCCTCTGGACTGGACTATTACTATCCGCAGGCCGGATTGGGTTCTCTTCCCTCTTCTTAGAACTAAGGATTTATAACACTTTTGTACATACTAGATTCCAAAATATAGGTAGGATTCTATCAGTTTTGTTGGTATTTAGATGACCTTCATAGGGACACAATCAACCATTTAGAAATAGTGTGTATATACATAAAAGCTTTCCATGAGTTTCATCTATAGGTAGATCCTACAGATGTTCTTTATAAGTCAGATCACCTTGGCTCATACAAGTGAGTGGTCTTACTGTCTTCCCTTTGCTGTGATTCTCTAGCCACTTCTAATAGATGTTCTTCTTCCATCTACCCATCCAGCCCAGAAAAACTTGCCTAAAACCTGGTTGCAAATTGAAGCTATTCTGAAATCCCTTTCTTCCAGTAGGAAAAACTGCTGAGGTCAGGAATCTGAGCGGGGTTCCAGGTTGAAAGAGCTTGGGCATCCCTTGGCAAAGAGGGTATGAAAGCAGTAGACTCGAGTTATATTTTGAAAGACAGTGAGGCCATATCTACCCCAGTGTAACCAGTCATATCTTTGGGCATCAGATGAGAACAACATGCAGTCATCTTGTGCCATCCACAGCATGCCACACACACTCTACATATGCAATGGCTTGTGCAGTTATTTGCACCGTGTGAACTAATGAACCTGGGAATTACTTGTGCATTCACAAATTGGCTTGATGACAAAAAGCATTAGTAGCCCACCTTTCCTGCATGGAATTAGGACTGCAGGGAGAGAGAACCTGTCCTGTTTACAGGACCAACCACCTGTCGGACAGGTGAAAGCACCCTCTCATAACAAGGCATTCTCCAGATGTATTAGGCTGCTGTGCCTGTCATCCTGAGCTGGCAATAGCCATGTTGTTTGGGGATAATAGAGAATATAACTTAACCCAACTGGAGGCCATCAGGTGAGACAGACAGGACTGTGATTTGTCCACAGCCCTCAGGAGCAACACAGGTGGGAACAGAACTGAATGATCCCAGGTTTTGTGTGATCTGCTGCTTTCTCTGCCCTCGACATCAGACTGGATCTGTAGATTAAGAAGATACATGTTTTGTGTATTAAGTGTTTTATTGGTTTGTGGTGCTGATATGCTGCTTTTTCTTCTTAGAATCTCAGAGTACCTTTGATGGGGCTCCTGGGCAGTCTTCCATCCAGGCACTGAGATCAGCTTAGCTTTAACAGTGTTAACAGCATCCTATGTTCTCAGGTGATTCAGTTATTAAACACATATATTCTACCCTCGAGTGGTTTTATTTTCTATGGGGGGGGGGCTCTCCACATTGTTTCGGTGCCGTTGATGCTTTTGCTTTGTAGACACTGAAGGAACTTCAACCACCCAGGCAAGGATGGCTTGGAGGCTGATTGTGAGATTCTCAAAAGATCTTTATCTTTGCAATCTCCATGAGAAGATTCTTGCAATGACAGTGGGAGCATCCCAGTACTATCATCTCTACCTCACACAGGAAACCTTTCCTAAGCTCCTGGTAGACCTAGGAAATTGTTGGGTGGAGATAACTAAGGGTGAGTTTAGTAACTGGCAACCCTTGACCCGAATCTGTACTTTCTCTGAGTTTTGCTGTTTGTCAAACTGGAGGCAAGAAGGGGGGGAAGCCAAGGTCGCTGTGGGGCAGCAGTGCACTAGGTAGAGGAAGCCTCAGAGCCCTTCTGCCACCACCTCCCTCCCCCATCACCTTTTTGTTAAATTGGCCTTGTGACAAAAAGACTGGTTAAAACCAGCATTCTCTTGGGATTACTCTGTGCTCACCACCAACCACGTTTCCTTGGAGGTAGATGGATGACCTACTTTACATGCTATCTCCCATCTTGGCATGTCCCCAGGCTGTAGCCTGAACGAACTAGAGGGTGTTATCCAAGTATCTCTCCATCTCCATGTGGTACTAATATTCTCCCTTTGGAAACCAACCAGCTGTTTCCTAACTGGGCCCCAGGTTGCAGTGACTCCAAGCAACCTCTAACTCTCCTTTAAAAGCCTCTCCTTCCACCAGGTAGAAGCAGCTTATCTGAAATCTGCTTGGAAATGGTGGCTGTTGCGTCACTTATAGTGGTAGAAATGGGAAGGAATGGGAGGGGACTTAAGCAGACTAGCGCCAAATGCCTCCTACGGTACATTAGTCAGTGGCTGTTATGGCCTCTTCCTCTTGGCATTCTCTGCTGCAGAGTCAATGGCACATGTCTTCCGATTTACCAGGCCTGAGCAAAGGAAAGGTGCCACATGGTTTCCTGAGCAAAGTTGCTTGGTGTGCTTTTCAGGCAGATACACTTTGCTCTCCTCCTTACAATAAGCGGCTTTCCCAAGAACATAGGAAAAGGTGAGGCGATGGGGAATGACAGACTTAAAAGGGTGAGCAAGGGAAGCCGTACAAGAACACAAATGAGTCTGCATAGCTGAAAAAGACACCCATTTTGATGATGTAGCAGAACCTCTAAGGGACTTCCTAACCTGCTACTACATGGATGCAAGAATTTCTCCTTGAGAATCTAAAGGGGCAAATGGGGGAACGGATGCT